CATCATTCCCCCCCCGCCCCCCCTTGGAATTTAACTAGGTTAATTTTACTAACTTCAGTTATGTAAAATAAGCATTTTAAAGGTTGGGTGTTTAATCATAGTTGTACCTCTGATGCAGAAAACACACATGTGAATCTAGCAACTACTGGAGCAGAAGGTGAAAACTGAGAGGCTGGTATGAGAATTAATAAGAAACAATAATTTTCTTCCTTTACTATAACAATAAACCATCACAAATGTTTTATGAAGTTGTATGGGAGTGCATATTGTTAGCTTGCTATTTAAATCAGCGTTTTAAAAAATATTCCAAACTTACAGACTAATGATGGCTGCTAAACCTGTGTAATTAAGTTAAATGCTAGAAGGATGATGCCGTCCCACCGTCCTTGTTCTGGTCCTTGTGCCCTTGGACACGCGGTGGGATACACTCTGCTGTTCTCCTTTCAGGCCTCAGAATGGCTTGTAGGACAGGTGTCAAGAACTGGACTCTGGCTTCTGTTACCTGGCCAGCTCTCCAGCACAGCCCCAGCTAGTTTGTCTGGTATAGCTGGTCCTCACCTGACACTGGCTTTGGACAGTTTTATCAGCCGCTGTCTCACAGTGCTGCCTGCTGTGAAACAAAATGGGTTCGTAGCCCTGCTGCTAAGTGAGGCGGCTCCTTTCCCAGAGCAACACAAAGCCTTCCTTTCTGGTCCTCGTGCATTTGAGAGAGCAATTATAGAAGATAGCAATTGGCAGCTGAATTGATCAGCTTCTGGTTTGAAACCTAAAGCAAAAACCAGTGTCTAGTAATACTATAAGGCCTTTTCCGATAATAAAGGCAGTGATGTTTCACGCCAGTAATTCTGGACCAGTGATCAGGAGAACACTTTGCTCCTGACAAAGTTAATCATCAAACCTCCCTGCCTGGCAGGTCACGGACAGGAGCGTGTTGAACGGTCCTCCTGCACGCACCTGTGTGCACTGTGTAAAATGGCTTTAAGACTGTGTTAAAGCCATTTATGCTTTGGCATTCAAACTGGGAACCTTTCTCCATAAGGAAGGTGTGTGCTACGAAAGCTTCTGCAAGAGCTTAGGCTATTAAAATAAAAAATATCAATCATCAGGAGGCTTTATAATGTTTTTCATTACTTTTATAACTGTGAAGTGGGGATTGTGGGTATTGTTTTTAATGCAAACCTTCCATCCATAAGTGGATACAGTGTGTATTTTTTGGATGAAATTTTTCAAAGAAGTGCTGAGACAAATGTTTTGGAAACCTAGAGCGACGATTATGGACGCTTGATTTGTGATGCTTATGACATCTTAATAGCGTATTTATAAAAACCACCAGCGTTTCCCTTCCTGCAGCCTGCCATCCATCGTGTCTCTTCTGTACGGTGCCCTTGCACCACACCTGCTTACCAAGCAGCTGCAGCTTGTGAGACTCTCTAGGCTGAAGAGTTCACGTTCAGGCTTTGACAGCTATAGCTAACTCTGGGGCGCACGTCTAAATTGCTTAACTTCAGGATCCTCTCCCAGTTTCTCAGTGCACTAAGTCATTTTTTCCTTTTAATAACTTTAGCAGGTGACAGTGTTACTTTTTGCAACAAGGCATGGTGAGTACAAAAGGATGGCTTTTTTAATAAGCTGACCTTGCTAGTGGGTGCAGATTCTTGCATCACCACTTTGAGTAAAAGGCTTTTGCAAACAAAGCCTGTCACAGGTAATTACAGGAAAGGTCAGTTTGCCATCTTCCCTTTAGAGAGTAACATGTGCTTAAACCCCAAGAGCTACATATAAAAGATGGTGTGTGATCTTCGGTCATTATTTCCGATGAGTAAGTGCCATGTCACTGGGTCACTGTTTTCTACAGGGGCTGGCAGCTTGGAAAAACCCATGTCACCCTGTGTCCTCAGCCCCCAGCTCCAAAGTCAGGCTTTTTTAAGATTTCTGCTCCGGCAGGGCTTTCAAGCAGGGCTTTTGTGGTTTATCTGGGATGGGGCAGATGGCTTGCCAACACTTCTAACAAAGGATGAGTATTGAAGGTGTATCAAGAAATGAAAGAGCTCAGATGATTAAGCGCTTCCAGATTGTGCTCAGTAAGCCTGAGAGGGGGATGTGTTATTGAAATTGGGTCTTTTGCATTTACCCATGGTAGTAGTGTCAAAGCTTGCAGTGGCGAAGGCAGCGCTTTCCTGAGTGAAGGGGAGGGCTTGTCACACATTAGTTGTGCAAGAACTTCAACCAGATTGCTGCTGCTGCTCCTGCAAGTGTCTGGTGACTGTGGCTTGCTCCTGGGTCCCAGAATAAACGGATCGATGTTCCTCTGTCTTCTCCAGGTTCTCCGCGGAGGAGCCAGTCAGCGTCCTTTGACCCCAAATCAGAACCAGCAGGGACAGCAGACTGATCCGCTGGTGGCTGCCGCAGCTGTCAATTCTGCCCTTGCCTTTGGACAAGGGCTGGCAGCAGGGATGCCAGGTAGGGGCTCCATGGGAGCTGCAACTTCTCCAGTGCCCAGGGAGATCTAAGAAAATCATAACTTATGTCTCTGCACGGTGTCACATTTCCCTGACATTCAGCAGTGTTTTGGGGTTTTTTTGTTGTTTTTGTTTTAATCTGTGGCTATAGAAAGCATTTTCTAGAAGCTGTTAGATGTCAACCTACCTACCTGTGCAGCATTTAAGTTGAATCAGGGTTTAGGTCCCTGTGCCACAGATGAAAACAAATGTTATCAGCTGTATTGCTGTACAGGTGCATTAGCTGCTTGCATACTCAAAAGAGTTGATGGCTCCTATTGGAATTGGCTTTCAAATTTTTCTGTGGGTCATGCTAACTTATGTGATCTTTATTTTAAAACCTCAGAGATATCTTAGTCTCATTCATTAGCCTTGTCTTTCCATCCCGCAAGGTGTTTGACTCTAACAGGATAAGGACTTTCCCCTTCATAATTTATTCCAGGCAAATATCAGGGGCTTAAAAACAAGGGGGGGAGGGGGGGGGAAGCAACACGGGTAAGAGGAAGCAGGGGTTTATTGTAATTTATAATTCTGCAAGATAGGAGCTGAGCTACTTTATGAATTTTAGCTCTGATCTGTGAGGCTGTGGTACAAATGCTTTTGACATTCAGTTATACAGAATATTATTGTAATGGCAAAGGGCAGGCGTAAGTATTTTTTTGAATAACATATAAGTATGTCCCTCTTACATTCTTAAATGTAGGAGAACAGGATTATTTTAATCTTAGGTCGCCCTAGTGGAAGTGTCACATGGTTGTTACATGGGGTGGTGGGTTTTTTTTTTTTTGTTTAAGGAGAATGTTGCTCTGTTAACTTACAAAGTGAACTGTGACATGCATGTTTCCAAGCAATCTGCAGATTTCCTTAAATCTGCATTATTGGGGTTTTGGGAGTTATAATTATAAAAATTCACATAGAACATTCTGTGACCCCACTTTGGAGAATCACTTCAATTTTTCCTGAAAGTTCTATTTAATTGTAGAATTATATAGCAAGATACCTAAATAGTTATATACTACTTAAAGTCTGTTGCTTTGAGAATCACCAGCATATTTAAGAGTATATATATTAAAGAATGCTTTATGATACTGTCATGCTTTAACCCCAGCTGACAACTAAGCACCACACAGGCACTTGCTCACTCCCTGCCCTGGTGGGGTGGGTGAGAAAATTGGAAGACTAGACTAGAAGTGAGAACTTGTGGGTTAAGACAATTTGATAGGTAAAGCAAAAGCCATGCACAAGCATAGGAGAAGAAGGGATTCATTCCCTGCTTCCCCTGGGCAGGCAGGTGCTCAGCCATCTCCAGGACAGCCGGGCTTCATCACACGTAACTGACTTGGGAAGACAAACACCATCACTCCGTACATCCCCCCTGCTTTCTTCATCCCCCAGCTTTATGTGCTGAGCATGAGGCCATGTGGGCTGGGACATCCCTGGGGTCAGTTGGGGTCGGCTGTCCCGGCTGTGCCCCCTCCCAGCTCCTTGTGCCCCCCCAGCCACTCGCTGGTGGGGTGGGGTGAGAGGCAGGAAAGGCCTTGGCTCTGGGTAAGCCCTGCTCAGCGATAACAAAAACATCCCTGTGCTATCAACACTGTTCGCAGCACACATCCAAAACACAGCCCCATCCTAGCGACGATGGAGAAAATTAACACTGACCCAACCAAAACCAGCACAGATACATACCTTTAAAAAGATATAACTTTTAAGTTCCATGTCTGGTTTACATGTGTGTGCACACCGAACAACTTCAGCATAAGTGGCAGAGTTGGAAGTGCAGGGAGTTCACATATATGGAAATTCCCAGCACACATTGTAGTTATAAAAGAAACAGTGCTTTTGTATTTTAAGACTTTTTTTAATCTGTATAACTGAATTTATACTGAGGGCAATGCTAGTACAGTAGGCTTGGGGGGAGGAAGTCTTCTATAACCAAAAGTCTTAATAGTATGAAGTTGTAGACTGTTAAAACAGATTTTTATTATTTTTTTCTTTAGGAGAAGCAGAGCTGTTGCTGCTTTTTCTTTTTCCATTCAGGTTTTCCTTTAAAAATCCTACTGCACCCTACTTGTCTGCAGATGATTTATCTGCCTTGTGCTGTGGTGCTTGTTACCTTACCTGTAATCTGCCTCTTCAGGTTACCCAGTGCTGGCTCCTGCTGCTTACTACGACCAAACAGGTGCTCTCGTGGTGAATGCAGGGGCCAGGAATGGCCTGGGGGCCCCCGTCCGTCTGGTAGCCCCCGCTCCAGTCATCATCAGCTCCTCTGCAGCGCAAGCAGGTGAGTCCCAGTCCCATCAAGTGAAAAATCTGCTCCATCCCCAGCAGAGGGTGGACCTGAAATCCTCTGGGCTCTGCTGGCGATGATGACACACTTGCCCTCACTGAGATCCTTTGCGAGGATTGTTGTTGAGAACATCCTCTGTGCTCATGGTGTACTGAGCCTCCAGAACAGCCTCGGAGAGTTGTAGCATCGCATAAACTATTATTTTGCAGAGTTTCGTGACAGTTATTTAAATTTGTCTGCTGGCATCTAGTTTCCCATGTAATAAAAAGTTTTAGCCTGTGTCGAACTGCCAGATGATCACCTTGCGTAAAATGTTACATGCCTGGTCTTTGCCATGAGTTGTTTCGGGTTTTATTGGGGTTCATAGGGAGTTCAAGGCTCTAAAAGTATTTTTTCAGCCAGGGTCTGTGCATGTAAGCAGTATTTGTCACTGTTAGTAACAGAATTATGAAACTGACCTTTTAATTGTTTCCTTGTAGCTCTTATTTATTTTGCTTTTTCTTTTACTTTGGAACTGGCTGAAAAGCAAAAGTACTTGGTTTTGATGTTCTTAGCACCACAGGATTGCATTTCATGCACCGAAGGACAATTTTGCTTATTTCAAAACTGGTGTTTCTTAATGGGGTATTGCTAAGTGTGTGATTGTATTGATTTGAATCTTAGGAGAAAGGAAAGATATTTGTGTGGTGGATCTACGTAGCTCTAATAATACAAGCAGCAATAATAACAACTAGGCATTGTTGGTATGCAGTGGCTCTGCAAGACTTGTGGAGCTCAGATGGCAGAGTTTGATGCGAAAGGGAGATTTTAATCCTGAGAGGAAAGAATCTGTAATAAATAAAAGGAACCTGCTATGTTTTAACTTCCAAAACTGATACAAAAATGTATTTTCAGTCTGTGCTTCCAACTACTTTCTCTCCAGCAGTTGCAGCGGCTGCGGCTTCAGCCAATGGTGCAGCGGGTGGCCTGGCAGGAACAACAAACGGACCATTTCGCCCTCTAGGAACTCAGCAGCCCCAACCCCAGCCCCAGCAGCAGCCCACCAACAACCTGGCATCCAGCTCGTTTTACGGCAACAACTCTCTCAGCAGCAATTCCCAGAGCAGCTCACTCTTTTCTCAGGGCTCTGCCCAGCCTGCCAACACTTCCCTGGGATTTGGGAGCAGCAGCTCTCTTGGTGCCACGCTGGGGTCTGCACTGGGAGGATTTGGAACAGCAGGTAAGAACAGCAGCTTCTTTGTGAGGGGAAAAAAGGAGAGGAGCAGCTCCAAGTGCAGCTAGAAGGGTTGTGAGCCACTGGAGCTGGCATCGATGCACCAAGCTGCTGAGCCCTCTTCTTCATCCCTCTGAGGTTAAATAGAAATTTTCCTTCAGGGACTGGTTTGGCTTTCAAAATCTGCAGTGCTTTCTGGTAAAAATTCTTTTTTAGTAGATGATATAACTAGAAGTACCACAGTAATTCATTTGTTTTGTTATACACATTATCAGTCGTCCCCTTGTTGCCACAGATTTAAGTTTTTAAACAGCTTTGGATTTCCTTGCTTTTACCTGCCTGTGTTTGGTGGAGATACTGGCCTGAGAGGAAGTAGTACACGGATGGATGCCACTCTGGAGCTAACTCAGAGCAACGGCTGAATAACTTTTTGTGATCTTAAACAAGCTGATCTGAGGTGGTTTCCATTCTTTATTCTGGGAATTGTTTCTTTTTTACACCAAAAAAAAAAGTCCCTTATTGTGGTTGCAAAAAATGCTACATACACTGTTTGTTTTGATTTGTTTGTTAGACAGTTGGAGACAAAGATTTTATTTTTTCAGAATAAAACAAAACCAGAAAGATGTTTGTGGGTTGTTGTTTTTGTTGGGCTTCTTTTTGTCTTAGGTTTTTTTTTGAAGTAGAACAATTGCTTTAATTACTGCTTAGTCTCAGAGGTAGTAATTATGTCCTGAACTTTCCTGCTTTCACCAGTGTGAAGGGCAAGTTAAAACATGCCTTTTGAACCTGCTCCATCAGAAGAGACTGAGGGACCTAGTGTCACTGCATCAAATCAGTTTTAAATAAAAGTTATTCTAAATATTTTTCTTAAACCCAGCCTGAGAATGTGAACTATTCAGGTAAACACAGCATTCGCTTCTTTCACTTCAGTTTATTTAACTAATTGAATTCACTTACTAGTTTGCTCAATGCCAAGATGCACAAACTTGTTTTCCATCTATCAGTGAATAAAAATGTGAGGCTGTTGCTTCCAGAACTTGTGTGCAGTCATGAAAAATGATTAATTCATTTCAGTTAACAATGTCACTATTTATTAAACAAGATTTTAATGCAAAATTGATTTTTTTTTTTTCCCCCCTCAAGTTGACAGTGCATTTAAAGAGTTTGTATTTGACTATCAATACAGCCCTTCAAAAAAATATTGGGTTTATGTTAAATTGAGTTCTGATTTCCATCTCAATAAAGCTTGGTGCAAACAGCACCTGTTTTTTAATATAATGAAAGGTGAGCAGAAGGATTTCAAGTAAATGTACACGAAGTTGTACATGCTCTTAAGTAAACGTGAATAGATAAAATCTCATGTTGGATTTGTTTTAGCTCTGATGGCCAAAGAATAAATACGAGGCAGTGCTTGTAGGGCGATCTAATATCTTGTGTTACACTAAGTGATATGCTTAAGGGAAGAGAGCTTTGAAGTATACAAACCTTCTTCTGAAGGTTCAGAAGCAAAGCGTTAAGTGTTTGTGTCCAAAAGCCAACATGTTCGCTGTCGTTTCATTCTGTTGCTTCCTTTAGGTAGATTTTTATCTTCCTGATCTTTCTGCTTGTAGATTTTTGGAGCTGTATTTCTTGATGTGTTCTATCAGTATTAAAATTACAAAACTCTAAATGCAAAGAGAGGATTCACGCTTATTATTTAAATCAAGAGTTTCTGCTTGACCATTAACAATGTGGTTTTAATTAATGTGTTTAATTGGGCACTTGCAACACCCTTAGGAAAACAGCCTGGTGCGATGAAGTAGTTAATAGGTGCCATTGTACTGGCTCTCCAGGTGTCTCAGACAGTGTGTTGGCATCACAAAATTTTACTCTCTTCCTCTTTTCAGTTGCTAACTCCAACACGGGCAGTGGCTCCCGCCGAGACTCCCTTACAGGGAGCAGTGACCTGTACAAGAGGACATCCAGCAGTTTGACACCTATAGGACACAGTTTTTATAATGGCCTTGGGTTTTCCTCTTCTCCTGGACCTGTGGGAATGCCTCTGCCCAGCCAAGGACCTGGCCACTCTCAGACTCCACCACCTTCCTTATCTTCACATGGATCATCTTCAAGTTTAAACCTGGGTAAGAGCCACGGTGCCTCCGTGCCAGCCCTGCAGGTCACTGCTCTGCTTTCCCTCGGCGCAGAGACATGAGCACCCCGCTGCAGGGTAGCTGAGATACCTGCTGCCCAGTTGCTGCTCTTACTCCTGTGGCAGAGTCCCTGCTTTTGCAGAAGTAGGTGAAACACTGAAGCAGGAGTTGTAGCACCTCTGTTACGTGTTTGTCTCTTGCAGTAGTTCAGCTGTTAAACAGGAAGGTTTCTCTGTTGTCTCCTTGTTTCCTCATCTCTAAATTATGGATCACATTTCCAAGTGTTTGAAAAACAAACTGGTTTTCTTGTGCAGATCTTGGTAACAGCACCAGTTGTTTGTTATCCTTTAATAAAATAGATATGTTATATAAATAGGTATGTTAAACTTGTCAGATATTTTAAAATACCCATTAAATTTTCAATGGTAAATTAATGAGCTTAGAATACAGCTTCTTTTAACCAAAATATGCAGTGTTATCTGGAGCAGAACTTAGCTTGTAGCTGAGGATTTTGTGAGTTTGCTTTTGAAAACTTCCCATCAATGTGGCCTTTCAGAAGCACATTAGTGCATGGGAGAGGCTTTCCTAATTTTGGTAAGATACATTACTTGATGCAAGCTACATCTGGGAGAGCTTCTAGTTGGCCCAGAGCTCTTACATATAATAAAGTCAATCTTCAAAATAAATAAAGCAAATATTAAATAATAAAGCAATTCTCATATGAACTTCCTGAAGAGTTCGTTTCCAAGCCTTGTAAACAAGGTAGGTTATTCATTGCATCTGCACCAGATAACTTAGTAATTGCTCAAAAAAATCACTTTGTTTTGGTGCTGTCACATACCTATCTGGATGAAACAAAACTTTTGCTTATCAGAACAGATTACTGTTACTATTTACTAATATTATATCATGTTTATTACATGCATGTGTGATAAATTTGATCCTGGCTAAAGGTTAGCATGGAATAGTAATAAACATGATTTTTGAGATCAAGTTTAGATTTACCATCTTTCCTTGTTCAAAGCTTTAATAGAATGGGAGGGGTTTTTAGTTTTATTTATGCAGCTGTATAGTCCTTAAGCTGACAGTTAAATAGCTACAGTAAATTAATGCTGAAGACTAACGACATTCCAAATCTGGCTGTAGAAAAAGTCTGTTGCCCCTGCAGGCAAACAAAAGAATGAATCTTACAAACTGGATCAGAGGAAGGTTAATCTGAGAACAAACTCTGGAAAGAAAGCGGAGTTACCATTTACATAAATGGGTTGTGCCCCAGAGCAGTTAGTGTGGGTCTTCCCATCTTGACAAAATATTCCTCTCCTTGTAGCTGGGTTTTCTCTGTGGCTGATTTTTGCCTTTGCTGCAAGAAATATCTCGTACAGAATAGCTCTGCATTTGTGTGGTATTCACCTTGAAATCTGTAAAAGGTCATTTAATATATTTTTTTAAAGTTTCTCTTTCACCTGTAATGGAAGACAATGTTAAATGTAGTTGTCATTTCCTCTGGTTATAAAATAAGTTTTAATGCTATAAAAACAGCACAGGCATTGTTTTTCCTTTATAAGAAGCTTGAGGCTGACTCCTTTTCTATTTGGGAGTGATGTCAGAAGTAGTTTGTGATACAGAGGACAAGGAGTACTTCCAAATATAAAAACGAAAGGATAGATGGCAACACCCAAACTTGTTTGTAAAAAGGGAAATCAGAGCAGTTAGGTTCAGAACCACATCCTATCAGTGCGTTACATGGGGAGAGACAGCCAGGGGGAGTCACTTTGAGTAACTTTCATTTCAGGGTTACACAATGACAAGAAATTGGCATTAAATCTGACTTGCAGTTAGCAAATCTATGGTTAAATACAGTGTAAGCTGTGGGTTTGACTTTGTCAGGTCTCATGGATGCACAAGTCAATTGTCTGGTTGGTGCTGTGTGTAAAGATTCAGCTCCGGTTCTTCTGGCTTTCTGAAAGCTCGTAGCTGTGAAAAATGATGTGTATTTATCAAGCTAGGCTTTTCCTGGTGTTGTAAAGTGACCTTGTGAAATGTCTGGGTAATCATGAGTACCTGAAATAACCATGCAGCTAGTTCTTAGGAAAAGAACTGCTGGAGGAGGAAGGCTGAGCTAAATACATGCTTTAAACTCAAAGGTGTGTGCAGCATATGCAACTGTGCCTAGCTAGGATAAAGCAACTCTAAATAGGCACTTTTAGGTGCTAAAGGCAGCAGGGGCCCTCTTCTTCTCCAGTAGTGATCAAAACTATAGAATTATAAATTACTAAATACTTTTTTTTAAAATGCTAAAATTCTAATTTTGGCCAGGTTATACATTACATCAGTTCGTGCAGTCCCACGAGCAGTTTTTGTCAGGTCTTGCATATGTAGCTGGTGTGGTCCCATGAGAAACGCTTGACGCTGCAGCCTGGGGCTGAATGTGTCTGACGCTGGGTTTTCCCAGTTTGGAATGGGGATGGGGATTTGCAGTGGATAAGTAATTATTTTAATTTTACGATATTCTTTCAGGAGCTGCTCCATACCGTTGTCAGCCTGTAATTTAAAAGGTGGGATTGATGTGAGGAGGCTGATACACGCACGTGGGAATTTGACTTATTAGAGATTTTTTGGGAAAACTGGCTGGGGAGTTGATAACCACTTAGCTGTGACCAACTAGGAGGGCTGCATCTCCCTGGGCAGCCGGTGGCACACCCTGGCACTGGGCTGCACGGGATGACAGGTTGGGGCAGTGACACGGGGGGGGGTGCCCCTTCCCAGCCCTGGGGAGGCAGCGTGGGGGGCCCCTCGGCCGGGCGGTCACTGCCCGGCGCCTCTGTGCTGAGCCCTCTGTAGGGGAGAGCAGCAGGGACAGCCTTCTCTGCCAGCTCTCTCACAGAGCCATCTTTTCATCTTCCCTTTTTTCCTACTGTTCTGGCATTTCTCATACCAGGAACTCCTGCGTTGCAGAGCAATTTGAGGGCCTTAAAAGTCCCCTGGAAACTTACTCAAGTGCTTTGTTTTCAGACAGCAGCCTTTGTGTTTCTTCCCTTCTATTTTCTTTTTGACTCATCCTTTCATTGTCTGTCTTTTTTCCCCCCTCAAATCAGTAATTCTTTCAGGTTAACATCTGTCTCAAGTGTCCCAGCAACCACTGAGAAGATGACTTACCATTTCAAAATAGAAAATGTTCAGTTGTTACGGCCGCGGTGTGAGTCTGAGTAACGTGTCCATCTTGGAGTCCCCAGGATAGACTCTGTGCACATTGCCCTCCCCAGATACAGATTTTGCCTGACATATCCCAGATACTTTTAAGAAAATACGGTCAGTGTGTTTAGAGGCAGAACCACCCCACTCTGTCACTGCTATACAGCTCCATGTACTGTGTACAGCACTAGTTTACTGTTGCAGGGCAATGCAGAGTGCTTGGCAAGGGCATAGGATGTCTTCACAGAGTTTGCAGACCCCCTTTTTGAAGTTTGTTCTGGCCGAGGATGCGGGAGAAATGATCAGTGCCAACATCTTGCAGGAGTCCTGTCCCTTCTTTGCAGTTTTTGTCCCTTTATCCTACCCTTGTGTCCTAAGAACTTCAGGAGTTTCCAGCTCTGTGTACTGCCCTTGATCGAGGAGCTGTTCCCTTGTAGTTGTTGGTAGCTCCCACTGAACTCTGGCAGCTGGCAGAGTCCCTGTATTTCCAGCCACACATTGGCATAAAGGAGCTTGAGGTGCTCCAAGGTTTCTGGCCTTTGGTGGTTCACAAGTGGGTTCCAGAAGTGCTTACTTGATTTAGGAAACCTGTCCCCACATGGTCTCTTAATTCCCAGTATGATTATGAACATCATGGGCAACCTGCAGTCAGCATCTCCATCAGAAGAGAGAGATAATTCGTGGTTTATTTTGAATCTCTGGAAAGATCAGGTTTTTCTCAGAAAAGCTCTGACAGAGAAGACATTTCTGTACAAACTGTGCTTTCCATCTTCACCGAGAGATAAGTCATAGGTGGTGAGTGCTAAATCCTGGCCTCTTACAGTCATTTGCAGATGATCAGGAACTAGTTTTCCACTTCAGAGCATTAGTGCAATGACTCTTACTTGCCCCAGGGTCTCAGAAAACAAGTGGCAATTCTGAGCTCTTCTTCGAATGCCATGGAAAAGATGAGTGTGCCATTGCTCAGCTTGTCACTGCTGAGTTTCGTTTACCTGAGAGGTTCCTTTGAATATCCTGGTCCTTCCAGCAGTAAGGAATATCACTGAGTCACTTTTTGGAGTTCTTCCTCATTTAAGTAGTAAGGTAGGTAGAGAAGATGATGGCCACACCTTTGCCAAGGCAGCATAAGAAAGAGATCTGAACAAGAATCTTTCAAGTCTCTGTCTCCTCCTCGAGAAAGGGGAGGTTTGGCACCAGCTCTGGAGAAGTCAGAACACATTTGCCCAGCTTAGAGACAGATGAACTTAATTAGGTCATAATCAGAAACTTAATTCTCACGTAGTGTTTCCTGCATGGGAGCTTCCTTTAGGCATTGATGGCAGAGGAGTTCAGTCAGGTCTTATTTAATATTTTTTATTTCAGATACTGTCGTGTGCATGGCTGCCAGGAGAAGGTCTGGTCTCTTTGCAGACAGCCCTACCGATGTTTGCCTTGAATGTCTTCCTTCCTTTGCAAAGACTTCTTGCAGTGTTTTTTTCCAGGTGGTTTGCCCTCTCTGCCTCATGTTGGCCTTTCAGATGGCAGGCTCCCATGTGATAAGAGCATTTTTCTTGGGGGGACTTTGTCCCACCCAGGAAAAACCTACTCACTCAAGGCATCTTGCAGCCTTTGACCAGCAGAGGGATCCCGAGCCCTGCCAGAAAGGGAAGAATCCTCTGCTGTAGCTCTGAAGAAAATTTCAAAAAATTGCAGGCAAGGAAGCACTGTTTAAAGGTTTAAGTTGGTTCCTATCAATGCTTGCAGTTTGCTAACTGTACAGTGAATCATTGCCTATTCCCTATATACCTGTTACTGGGTAATTCAGCAGCTGTCTTAATGTGAGTGAAAATCTTTAGGGCATTTGTGAAAGCACAGGATTTTTTAAAGGTATTTTATTGTTTTTAATTTATTGTTCTTTACCTGTATTTAATAGTGATTCGTTTTTTATATCCAAAATTTTTATAGTTGTTTCTTGCTGCCTTTTTCTTAAATAATTTCATCTTAATTCTGTACCCCACCCCCAGTACACTTCTTTTAAGTCATTGACACAGCAGCAGGACAGGTAAAAAAAACTGAGGATGGAGGAGAGGCAATTAGGAACAGCAAGTTAGTGAAAAGATGCAAGTGGTGGGATTGACATTTTTCTGTTTTAAGACAGTTTCAACACAGAGCGAGGAACAGAAGTTGTTACAGTCTGTTCTTTGCAGATATCTATGGCTGTTCCTAATGTCGTACAACAGTGCCATGCTCAGGAACAGTGCTTGAACACTTCCCTATCTCAATTATTTTGGGGGCACTTCACATAGCTTAGTTGCTGAACACTTCCTAGTTGAACCATGTCAGTAACCCATCTCAGTGGAAAAGGAGTAAATAAAAATGCATGCACAGGTTGTAAATTAATCCCTCAGCCTTTTGATTTCATCGTGGTTTTGTGACTTGCAGGAGGGCTTACAAATGGGAGTGGCCGTTATATCTCTGCTGCCCCTGGAGCTGAAGCCAAGTACCGCAGTGCAAGCAGTGCCTCCAGCCTCTTCAGCCCCAGCAGTACGCTCTTCCCCTCCTCTCGCTTGCGCTATGGGATGTCTGATGTTATGCCCTCTGGCCGAAGCAGACTGCTTGAAGACTTTCGCAATAACCGGTACCCTAATTTACAGCTGAGGGAGATTGCTGGGCACATCATGGAGTTCTCCCAAGATCAGCATGGATCCAGGTGGGATTCAAAACCTTGTGCTGGGGGAAGCTGCTCTCTGAGTTAGTATAGTTTGCAATTTGCATCACATCTTGAGGCAAAAAGGCAGAACAGGGAAAAAGAGTGAAAAACCAAGTAGTAACACACTAACCCTTCTTTTTAAAGATTGTTTGGGCACAAATGCCGATAGCAGGATTTACTCCTCTAAAGAGGAGCTTGCTTGCTTTGCCATTTGCTGGTTAGACTCATTGTCATAGCTTAACTCATTTTAAAGAGCCATCTGGACACAAGACCTTGCTGTATTACTCTATTGAGATCTGCTTTGCTTGGAAGGAGATTTTTGGGTACTGACAATGACATGTGGCCATGGACCTCATGGCTGGGACCACCCCAGGGTTTCAGATTGCTGGATAGGACAACTGTATTTTAAAGATTTGTTTTGCCACAGCTTAGTGTATGAGGCTTTTGAGAGAACTTTTATTATCAAATGTGTTGAGAGCGTATGTGCCAGTAGCATCATACCACCCCTATTTTTCAGGTTTATTCAGCTGAAACTGGAGCGTGCTACCCCAGCAGAACGTCAGCTTGTGTTCAACGAGATCCTCCAGGCAGCTTATCAGTTGATGGTCGATGTATTTGGAAATTACGTCATCCAGAAGTTCTTTGAAGTAAGTCTGTGTTCCCCTGCAAGTTTTACTTGGATGCCTCCTGTTCTGAGGTATTGGATGAGCTCGCAGAAACCCTGCTATTTGGCTAAAACAGTGGATGTCTGTCAACACTGATGTCATCTCCTCCCCTCAGGCTGTTGCATCATTCCTGTTGGGGTGACTGAGGTGTGGGACTCATAAAGATTAATCTGAAAAGTAACACTTTGCTTTGAGAGGCAAAAGGTGTAGGACTAGATGATCTTAAAGGTCTTTTCCAACCTGGATGATTCTGTGAATAAATAACATCATATCCAGGAGACGTAGGTTCAGCAAGACTTTTCAAGGGTGCTGTGCTGAGCTGCCATACTCATGTATTTAGGAACAAAAGAAACTTTCCCAGTGAACAGCATCTGCTGGAAGGAAGAGGTGTGTTCATACCAGGAGGTTGGGCAAACACCCATCTCTCCTCCTTGAAAGTGGGCACCAAGCCTTGGTGGTTCTGTCCAGTAATTTTATATCAGCCCTGTCAGGGGTCAGTGAACTGCCACATGTCATCCTGGTGGCCCCAGCACTTTTGACTCTGGAGTTTGTTTCACATGTGTCAGACATGTCTGGCAGACACAGGACAGATGTCTGGCTTATGCCTGTTCGCATCCCTTGAGGTGTGGTTGGTATTTTCTCTTTTCAGTAAGCACAGTGTTTCTCGTTTAACACCTTGGTGTGGCAGCGTGGGAGGGCTGCTGTGCTGCTTGGCCACACGAGGGTTTGTGCATGTAGTGACTGGTTTTCATCTTCCCAGTTTGGCAGCCTGGAACAGAAGTTAGCCTTGGCAGAACGTATCCGTGGGCATGTTCTGTCCCTGGCTCTGCAGATGTACGGCTGTAGGGTGATCCAGAAGGCCCTTGAGTTTATTCCCCCCGACCAGCAGGTAATTGTAAGTTTCAATTTTAACTTTCTTCTTGATGTTTACCGTTCCTTGCCATTTGGTGACCTGAACTGCGACCTTCTGTTCCTCTTGTGGCTGGTGTTCTTTTGGTTTGGTTTATGGCATGTTTGTTACGTTTCATGTGCATGATAAGTATGTGACACCGTTCCTGGGTCTCGTTGTCATCTCCTTGTTCCACTTAACTGGTAATGGTGTTGGTTCTCTGTTAATTCCCTGAAATCAGATTATGTATGTAGGGAAAACTGAGAATGATGGTGAATTAGAAGATACTTTTAAATCCCTTGAAGGAAGCCGTACCAGAGTTTTGCCTTTAACGTTTGCTGAGATATCACTGCTTTGATATGTGGGTCAGTATTCTGCTTACCTGCAGTGAGGTATATGAGGAGCTCCTAGTTCCTGTCGAGCCAGGCCTGGCGTTGCAGAGATGTGGATGATAGCCAGAGTCCCGCTCAAAGCTCATTAATAAAGCAGTTCCTCTAGGGTTTTATGAACAATGAATTAAGATGAAAAAATACGCTAGGCAAGCTAGCTAATAAAGGTGTTAGCAATTGTAATACAAGAATCTCAATGTAGGTTGTTAAATTAAAAATCTGAAAGAGGCTTTAGGAAAGCTCATTCCCTTTAGGTTGAGCCTGAGTTAAGCTGTTGCTTTAATATATCAGCAGGGTGGTGCCCAAGCTCCAGCACTGCTGGTCTGAGGATCTACTAACTGTATTCCTCCAGAATGGTATTTTTGAGTACTCTGTGCTCCTGAAATGCCTGCTTTTGTCTCAGTTGCAGAACTGAACTCGTCCAGTTTTGTGGTATTGTTAAATTCCCCAAAACTGTCATTCTCTGTTTGCTGTTTGTGAAGCTTTTAGCCTGCACGTGTGGTACACTAGTCATACCTAAACTTTATATCTGCTCGGATTCCTTAATTATCATGCAGTATTACCTTGCCTATGTAAAATACTCAGAAGTTCTTACCCCGGTGCTGACTGCGTTTTAGTGACATATGAAGCTTCTACCCCAAAAGTTTATGAAGCTTGGGCATTTTAGATTTCTTTCTCTTGAGGGGAGTAGAGGAAGAAATGGGGGCTGCACAGTAAAGCTGTGGATCAGTAAAATTTCTTAAATTTGGATACTTGTAAGAGGACACTCATGTTTAATGAAAGGAGTGCTTCATCTTCGTTTTGTAGTAGTATTTTTTCTTTGTGGTTTCTGTAGCACAGCAAGCTTCATCTCGGTGCTTGGCCACTAGAAAACTTCCAGTTTGAAATAATCGGTGCATCCTTCATACCTTTCATATTCTTGACCACGTTTAGCAGTGAAAACTTCGCATTTATCAGCCGTGAATCCTGGTGGTGCTTTCTGTTTGTCTTTCCTCCTAATAGAATGAGATGGTACGGGAGTTGGATGGCCACGTCCTGAAGTGTGTGAAAGACCAGAACGGTAATCATGTGGTGCAGAAGTGTATCGAGTGTGTGCAGCCTCAGTCCCTGCAGTTTATCATTGATGCGTTTAAGGGACAGGTAAGTCCTTGACCAAGAGACTGACTCTCATTCTTTATATTCTTACGTCACTTTGAAGAGTGTGAGAGTGGTTGTAACTTGTTACTATTTTGAATTTTAAATTTTAGCGAGCGTTAGTTGAAAGGATTATGCAGCAACGTTAGGGAGCCTAGAAACTCTTTGGTCATGTCTCTGTTATCATATTTGTGCAGGTATATCACAGTAAAGCATCCTTGCAAAAATCTATTTTCTTGGAACATCAAGTATTTTTTGACTGATGAAGGGGAAAACAAGTCTCTCACTAATCCATCTTCATAGTAAAGGTGGTGAGCAGAGTTTTGTGATGGGTGTAGTAAGCTTTCATTATGATCCCTGTCTGTGAGGACGGCTTAGAGAACTGCTGTTTCCCAAGGGTGTCAGACCAGGGAAAAAACATGAGTTTCATCTAGAAAAGGGCAGTTACTTGTGCTTCGTTCTCCTATTTTTTTCTTGATATCCTCTTCTGAATTGATGTCCTGGATATTAATGTGTAGCTGGCTTTATTCTGCCTGTAGTCAGCTTGTCTTCCATTACAAAAGTGCTGGTTTGGGTGTTTCCAGCTTCAACTTAATTGGCTTTGGAGGGGGACTTTGAAGTATTGAGGGTTTTGCCACAGGGATGTGAGAATAGCCTGGGGTTGTTACAGCAGGAACCAGGCTTTATTAGTTTGGCTGCTCCTGGAACAGCTGTGAAAGCGGGGACTTGCTTGGCTGTGTCAAAACAAGCAGGATTCTAGCTGGAAACTTGCTCAGCAGATTTGCTGGTTAGAGTTTAGCTTTGGACCTTCCGCTAGGGAGTTAGGCAAGGCAGAAATACCTCTGGGAACTCGGTTGATGGCACTGACACTTCTTTGACCAGCCGTCCCAGTTTCGTCTGAACTTTCGTGTGGAAGATTAAACTTATCACCTCGCTATTTTTCTGCAGTTAATTGCACTTCAAGTCCTGTTTTTCCTGCACAGTTTACTCAACAGTTATTAAGAATCTGTAGACTGTCAGTTTAACGTTAGTGCTTGGATTTGCTACTTTTGTTAATTTTAAGCAACCAAATAGGACTTGGTGCTTTAGACAGAAAACTGTGCAGCAATAATAAAATGTGTCATGTTCTTACCAACAGATTTGGTAATCCGTTAGAAATGAGAAAGAAGGTTCTTTGTTGTCACTTCTCCTAAGCGTGGTTAAGGCTTTTAAACAAATTCAAATAGTTGAGGAAAATCCTTTTGCTGAGCATTTTTAACTTTCTGGTTCATACCATTTCTTACATAGCTTAAAATACGTAGCTGGCAAACAGTATGCTGGATTTATTCTTCTGAAACAGTGTTTTAACACAGCTTCTAATAATGCTTGGTTGTACCAGTGCTCTTTTTATTATTCAAGAGGCTTTTCCATTTGTTTTCCTGTTTTGTGAACAGGGAAGCTGAAGCACAGGTAGGGGTGTGATGTGCCTGCGATCACCCAGTTAGTCCTGTGGCAGTGGGGAGCAGATGTTTCCAGTTTCAGTTTATGCTGTCTGCAGCTGCTGTGCTGCAAGCTGGCATTACCTACCATGCCCAGGAAAACCCCCATGTATTCATTTAATTCTGAAAGGTTTCTGGGATTCACAAAGACTAACTAACAGATGTGTTGCTGCCTGTGCTTGCCTGTCTGTTGAATGCAGGTTTTTGCGTTGTCTACACATCCATATGGCTGTCGTGTGATCCAGAGGATCCTTGAGCACTGTCTTCCTGAGCAGACCCTTCCCATCTTGGAGGAACTTCACCAACACACCGAGCAGCTCGTTCAGGTCGGTGTGGGACAGGGGAATTCAGGTGCTGTGAGATGTTTCTCGTTTACCACTTTGTTTTAGGGAAGCTTCTGGCAGCCTGTTTGGGACTGCGGCTGTAGTGCTGCTGGGGTTGTCTGAACACAGGGATGCCATTCCTGAGGAACGGCAAGGATCACAGCAGGCAAGAAATGCAGCACCACTAATTGTTTTGGCTATGTGCAAATATCCAGCAGGTATCAAAGTCGTAGCTACTTTCCTTTTTGAAAAGGATCTTCAGTTGAGTGGGTGTGTGTCCTAGTGTTTCACTCCAGAAGTTAAAGTGCAACTAATGTCTAAAGGGAGTTAATGCGAAAAGCTCGTTACTTCTTGGAAAAGAAAATGCCAAGTAATTGGGGTTCTTAAAATGTGTTGATTTTATGCACACCCCCTTCCTGGCTGCCTTTCCTCTTCCTTGCAGTCCTTCTGAGAACTTGTTTTACTGGGATTCTGGTATTGGGGCGCGATGGATAGAACAGCAAATGAACCCTGTCCTGTGTGGAAAGAGGTTGGGCATGGAGGTGGGGCATTGGATCATGCCTCTGGTATTGTGAACTGGGGAAATGTGTATTATATATCTTGTGATCTGAATATACACACATTCAGAATATGAAAATGCCTAAGTGTCCCATAGCTAGAACCATGGTGCAGCCTTCCAGCATGTGATTTGGTACATTTGAACCTGAAGAAAGCAAAAAAACTTGAAATAAGCAGAGTATTGACATTTCATGTTCAAGGACACTGTTTTCAGTTTTATAACTGGTACAAAGGTGTGCAGAATTTTACCTCCTGGTAGCATGCATGTTTTTTTAGAAGTATTTATATCATTTGTACAGTAGATATTTTAATTAGTGCTCAGTTCAAGTTTGTGAGTCTTAATGCACATTGGGAACTAGTTTGATATTAATGGTTCCTGTCCACGTTTTGTCACACACTTCTGTCTCTCAAACAGGATCAGTATGGGAACTATGTTATCCAGCATGTACTAGAACATGGTCGGCCTGAGGATAAGAGCAAGATTGTAGCAGAAATTAGAGGCAACGTGCTCGTGTTGAGTCAACATAAATTTGCTAGGTATGAATTTGTTCCTTAAAGTCTCCACGCCCTGTGGGAGCATGGACACATGCTAGAGTTGCAGAAGTTAGGGGTGGGGTGTAGGGAGGTGAAAATAACTTTTTACTTAACAACAGAATGCTATTTATAACTGCTTATAAACAGGGATGAATGACTGGCAAGGTAAGTTTTACTTGTAATGAAGGAGGATGAAGGTGTGGAAGAGTAGCTCTAATCTTAAATTCCTGAACTTGACCAAGAGTTTTGGGTGTTTTGTTTTGGTGTTTTTTTAAGTGGTCACTATCCCTTGCATAATAACATGCCATAAGAGCATTTCACTGCCCATGGGATGCTGTGTCAAGCCACAGGGGAATCTGGGAAATCAGTGTTTTTCATCCTGCTTTTCATAGAAGAATCTGGGCTTTTTATATGCTAAGTCTAGCGGTCCTTTTTGAGACCCATGCATAATGATAGCCTCGTAGGGAAGCTGCAGCAGTCTGAGGTTGTTAGTCCAGGTGCTACAGAGCTACACATGGGTAGCAGCAAAATCCAGGTACCTTAGTGGATGCCAAGACAAAGTAATACTTCCTACAATTGCAAACTCCTTTTGTGTGTGTTTCTAGCCATTTGAACATGAAGGCTGAGCTCTTCAGAGGCTCAGTGTTCCCCCCCTTTTTATGATTAGTAAAACAGTGTCTTAATACTTAGGGACGTACTTGGGGACACAAGGGAAGTGTAACTTTAACAAGAATTAGAAGAGCATGGTCTTAATGTTTTATTTCAGATTCTTCCTCCCTGACTTGCCTTGCTCTTTTTTCTAAACTTCTTTCCAGATGAAGTGTTAATTAGTGTGGGATGTCCCCTGAGCTGAGCACTAG